TCTTCTATCACACAAACACATTTAATTAATAATATACAACACATACATACATACACACAAAAAAAAGATTATTATTAATATTATTAGAGATTTTTCTAGTTTGTGTATTTTGTGACTTTGTGCTGATTAATTTTTATTAAAATAGTAATATTAAACTTTGTTATTTGATAATATCAAGAATCCATTGTATATAATGGACTCTTGATAACATTAGCTGGGTGACAATGTCACTTGTCATATTTGGTTGGCAAATCTTATTTTGTTGATTATGCAGAATTTTTGTATTGGAGGCCATTTCCTGTGCAACTCATGAATATTGTTATAATTCATTTGCTCAAGGGCATTTCCTGTTGCAGTACAAGATGAAGAGATTGACTGGTTGCTCTAGTTTTACTGCTCTGTGGAAATGTATGTGCTGTTTTCTTATACTGTCACTAGTTCAAGTAGGAGAAGGACAAGAACCTAGCACACTACCAAGCAATGGTAAGAGTAAAATAAAAAGCTCTGAATGAACAGATATGTTACTAATGTTAGGTGTTCAACTGTACCTAGCTAGTAAGGAGATGATGATACCTGATTATTCTATGATATATGCTAGCCAGTTTTATGATTTTGATCAGAATAATGATGATAATGATATCAATGATGCTTTGTGGTGTCAGAGTGCTAACAATGTTACTAATATTGGAGTGTGGTATTATCCTAATGGAACTGAAGTGCCTTTATTTGATGGAGACTTTGGTCCATTAGCTCCTAGACCATTGTACAGTAAGAGATTCAGTGGTCAGATTGCACTAGCTAGAAGTGCTGGACTATCAGGATATGAAGGTTTATACAAGTGTATCATTCCTGATGAGAATGGAGTGAATCAAACACTAGTGGTTGGAGCATATACTGATACTGGATACAATAACAATGGTATGTGATGAATATAGACTATAATTAATGTACTTCTTTTACAGATGGTCCTGATGCTGATCCTACTATGCAGTTCTCTCTCCTCTCCACTAGTAGATTAGCTACTCCTCCAGTCTTCAGTCTCAGTTTCAATGTCTCTGATGGTCCTCCTACTACTGTCAGTTGTTTTTTGAATAGTAGTATCTATGTAGCAAAAGACCTGTCTCGTATGATAGTGAATGGATCAGGATCTGTTACAAGAGTGAGAGTAACAGTGAGACTGAGAGAAGCTGGTAACTATCAGTGTACTGTAATTAATGACAGAGTAACTGATGGCACTAATGGTGTTATTAACGGTGTTCAGGCATTAAATAGTGCTACATTTTTGAGTTTATCAGGTTTGCATCATTATTAATTATTAACAATCATGTACATTTTATTTCAGTATCTAATACTCCAACTGGTTTAACTGCTACAAGATTAAATACTGGTTTAGCTCATGTAAGACTCTCCTGGTCTACTGTATCAGGAGCTACTGGTTATGAGGTCTACTATCAACTGTTCAGTAATACTTCTGTTAATGTAGGCAGTACTGCTTCAACAGCAATCAGTATAATATCAGGATTAAGTCAAAGGAGTACATACACTTTCTATGTAGTATCTTATGGATCAGCTTCTCTACCTAGTGGTAATGCTTCAGTTATGGAATCATTTAGTAAGTTTTTGTTAATAGTAATAACATGATCTA